TGTACATTTAGGTTGTTACTAATTTTTTTCTTTTATAGGAAGTGGTATAGTGGACATTTTATACAAATATCATGGTACTTGCCCAATTATTTTCTTGGAATAAATTCCTGGAAATTAAACTACTGAGGCAAAAATAATGTGCTTTTTCGATTATGAATTTTTATTTTTAGCTTCTGTGAAATTGAACTACCAGAAGCTTGCACCAGTTTATACTCCTGTCAACAATGGAGAGTGTCCATTTCCCCATAGTTGCCTAGCATTTTCAATTTAAAACTTTCTTTCCAATCTGATAAGTAAAAATATTCCATTTTTAATTACATTTCATTGGTTATAAATGAGTTTGAACATCTTACTGTATCAAAAGAGCAATGCCATTTAAAAGGAGCTGATGACTTTTGATTTGTATCTTCTTCCTTGGAATTATGATAGCACTCTAGAGATGAGAATTGGCAATTTTAAGTCATGAAGTCAAAAGAATAATTGAGTATATGGGTATTGAAGAGGAGCCCTGGTGGTGTGGTGATTAAGCACTCAGCTGCTAACCAAAAGATCGGCAGTTCAGACCCATCAGGCATCCTGTGGGAGAAAGATGTGGCAGTCTGCTTCCATAAAGATTACCTCCTTGGAATCCCTATGGAGCAGTTCTCTGTCTAGGGTCGCTGTGAGTTGGAATTGACTTGACAGCAGTGGGTTTGGTTTGGTTTACAGGTATAGAACCAGTCCCCCCATCTACCATAGAATGAAAATATGGTAGAAAATGATCCTTAACAGTTTCTAGTAAGCAAGGGTTGATAAATAAGTACCCCATATTAACTCACCGAAGTAAAGTATATTTATTTTTGATCGTTTAATACGTGTACCATCTATCTAAGTTCCCAGTGTGTTTCTGGACTTTTTTTTTTTTTTTTTTTTTTAGCAGCTGTAGCTCTTAACCACTGTGCCAAATAAGTATTCAAAAAATATTTTTTTTTTTTCATTATCACTGACACACACTCCCTTCATTTTCCCTTCCCTCCCACCCCCGGAACCTAGTTAGACACTTTTTTTCTATAATCTACCCTCTCCCCTGATATTTTGATAGCATATATATACTCTGTATCTTTTTATGTACAGTGGCCCTTTGGCGGACCACAAACCATTCTAATAACTAGGATTTTTTTCGCTTTTCCAAGAGCCAGTTTTTACCTCCTTGGGATGATACTGCTTCTGTTGAGAAATATACATTTGGAGGAAGGGGAGAGAAGCTTCACTATGCTTGAATAGTTTTTTTGGTTTCATAGGATTCAGAGGAAGTCAGTGCAGGGATGGATTACCTAATAAGCAAGGTACAAATGGGCTTAATTGTGTTTAGTTACTAATCTGTAGTGCACAATTTCACATCTTTGTTGCAGTGAAAAACAGGTGAAATTGTGCACTACAGATTAGTAAGTAAGCACAGGTAAGCCTGTGTGTACCTTGTTTACTGGTTAATCCGCCCCTGGGTCACTGTTGCTATTACTTTATCGACTTGTCCAGAGGGAACATTAAGATTAATGATCGCCACCAATACTTCGTAGTCTGTTATCAACTTGAGGTGCCTAAGTTAATTGGAGTATTTTAGGTACAGTATTTTCATTCTCGAGAATTTTGATAAATAGGCCAAGAACATGATGACACTATTATAGTTGGAGGCCTGGGTGCTGCTGAACAGCCTGCAATGTGCAGGACAGCTCAGTAATGCTGAGGTTGAGAAACCCTGTCGTTTCCTAATGATTCTAAACCAAACCAAACCAAACCTGTTGCCATCGAGTCGCTTGCAATTCGTAGCGACCCTATAAGACAGGGTAGAACTGCCCCATATACTCTAGATTCCAAGGCTGTCGTCCTTATGGAAGTAGACTGCTACATCTTTCTCCTGGGGAGCGGCTGGTGGGTCCTTAGAAAATAATCTAAAATACAGAAAGTGATATATATACACAAAGATACTCACTGAGATATTAACTTTCTTTTTTTGCCTTTACAAAATATGTTCTTTTAAGAAACTTACAAACAAAAAAGATAAAAAATTACTCAGTCCCACCACCCACAAGTAATATTGTTGGAATTTCCGTGTGTGTGTATGTGTTTGTTTAATGGGACATACTGTTTTTTAATCTTTCCTTGACATATCACTATATATAATTATGAAAAACAGGGAACAAACTTAATTCTTTGAGTCTTTGGAAGAGATTTGATCACCCATGACAGGATTTACATGAATTTCAGGAATGCTAAAAAATTGGAAACTTCTTTAGAGATAATTAGCTCACCCATTTCAGGAATTCTTTATACAATACTATTCAAACTCTATTTGCCCACTCTCACTTAAACCGTTTACACTCTGAATTACTGTTCTCAAAATGCCTCTTATACCACAAAGAGTGAAACAATTACAGGCAGTTTTTCAGTAAAATTAACTTTTAGCCCTATGTACCAGTTGTTGTTATTTGCTGTTGAGTCAGTTCCAATTCATAACGACCCCATATGTTCAGAGTAGAACTACTCCATAGGGTTTTCAGGGTGTGACCTTTTGGAAACAAATCACCAGGCCTGTCTTCTGAGGTGCCTCTGGGTGGGTTTGAACCACCAACCTTTCAGCTAGTAGTTGAGCACTTAATTATTTGTACCAGTGGAGGTAAAGAATAGCTTTCCACATGTATTCTTTTTTGGAATCGACTTGACGGCAGCTAACAACAACTATAATGTGGAAGAACAAATGCTAAAAAACTAGAAGCAGTCATAATGTTTGTTAGTAAAGAATGGATATCATTTGGCTTTGTTCACACAATGGAATACTAAACAGCAATTAAAATTAATGGACTAAATCTATATGTATCATAAATAAATCTCTGAAACATAGTGTGAGGGAAAAAGTAAGACATAGGATATTTTTAGTACGATACCATTTAAATAAATGTTAACACAATACTATATTGTTTATAGATATGTATGTGTGTGTACATATATATGTAAAATGTATAACAAGAATACACAGCCAACTTCAGGATAGTAGTTACTTCCGATGGTGATGGGAAGGAAGTTGAATCAAGGAACAGTGTAAGGATCATCAACCATATTTATAGCCTTTTATTTCTTACAAGAAAAAAAAAAGCATCCCAAGCAAATACAACATCATGTTAGTTTGTTAAATCTAAATCTGAATTCATGAGTGTTGTTTATATTACTCTCTTTTACTTTGTTTTTTGAAATAATTCAAGATAACAATTATTAAAAGTAAACATGTACTTTTCAAATTTCACTTTTGAACTGAAGCCAAATGTAGAAAAAAAATTTAGTCATAATTATATATGTGTGTGCGTTTCTCTCTCTCTCTCTGTAGTAATAAAGGACTTCATTATAACCACAACTAATTAAGTACAACAAATAAAATAATTTCCAAGGGCTTTCCTCTCTTTGTGTTTGGAATGTTAAGTACTTTCTGAAAGTATTTAGGGTCTGCTGAATGTTAATAAAGGTGAACGGTTCTTAAAATTACCCATGCAGTGATTGAGATGGTCAAGTATGATTTACAGTTTCACAAGATGATAAGTCAGTGATCCATTATGTCTCTGTAACTTAATATGGAAAAACAAATATTTTTAGAAAGAAACCATATTAGGTATTAAGATTAACAAAATTATTTTTGTTTGTTTGTCCTTACTAAAAGAGAAAAGTGCTTCTTCTGAGTCTCTTGATGGTAAACTGTGCTATGCCAGTTTCACAGATAATGAACATTGCAACTTGTTTCATTTTGGAAGAATTGTTTGTTTAAAACTAGTAGCTGTTGCATTTGCATTCAAATTTTTTTAAGTGTTTTTCCTGGAGATTTTAGGCATCTGGTCTTTAGATTAGTGAAGGGTGCTCCATGGTTTTGTTGTATCAAAAATATTAAAGTTGACATTATTGTTCCTTATATGATTAAGTGGCACTGTCATTGTAAGCATAATCAGGCATGTTTTTCTCTATCTAGTGCCAGAAACTGCCTTGTTATTAAAGAAAACTACCATATACAGGTCTGCGATAACTTGACTTAATGGAAAGATTTTTGTTTAGTTTTATGGCCATTATCTTCTTCCAAAAGTTTTATTAACTCACGTAAATGTTCAGTGGAAGACACTCTACTAGATTGTATTAAAAGAAAATAATTTTAGATTTTTGAGTCATACTACTAAGGGGTAGATTTAAAGGAGATACTGGCCACTGCTTAAAGGAGATGCTGCCAGCCATTAACTTGCCAGTAGATTTTTAGAAATTTCTTCTAAGGAAAACATGTAAAGCTATCATTTCGTAAAGACAGTTATGTTTCTGTAAAGGATTCAGTATTTTGAGCATTACATTTTTTTAAAAAGGAATGAAGTCTAGTGTCACCAAATTTTGATTTGTTAAGTACAACATATGGTCATTTCTCTACAATCAGACATTTAGTGAGTTATTACTGTCAGCCCTATATCAAGCCAAAGTTTAGATCAGAAAGCAAAGGGACTCTAACTCAGAGTGCATTCTGCTTAGCAACCAACTTGTTGTCTACTATTTAGCTACTGAATGCACGTCCTCATGCCTCAGAAGTGTATCTGCAGCCAGCTGGACTCAATGGGACAATACTTTATTCACCTAATTTCCACACTAGTCAGGCAAAAACATCAGCTCATTGTGTTTAGTCATGAGGAAATTTATTTGTAAACTTAAAGTAGTAGCAAACTGTTCTCAAAAGCCCCTGAACTATGAGAAATTTCCTTCTCACAGTAAAGTCCTTGGAATTCAGAATGGCTTCATTATGTTTTTTTTTTCTCCTTCTTAAAAATTCTTGTTTAAGTATATTGTTTCAGAAACATAGCTTCTAAAATCCTAGAGAGAATAACTGTATAGAAAAGATGTTAAATTCTGAGACTGCTTTTAGAATTGTTAAAATGTAAATTCAGGAAGTTTGATTTGCAGACTTTTATTGTCTACCTTGACACTCACATGATAATTTTCTTTCTCAGAAATCAACAGTTTTATTGGCATGTGAAGCTCCTGTTTCCTCAGAGTCAAGCTGTGTACATAGAAAAAAGGTATAGTGTCCCCACTGTGTATGAAAAACTGATTTTTTGTTGTTGTCTGTTTGTTTTTTAAGAACTGATTTGTTTTTTAGGCTCTCTATTTAAAATAAACTGTTAACTCAAATGTTTGTCAGTAATAGAATGGATAGCTTAAGTTGTGGTATATTCACTCAATGAAATGCAAAATACCACAGGAAATGAGTGAACTACAGCTATGTACATCAACATGGATGAATCTCAGAAATAATGTTGAGTGAAAAAAGCAAGTTATGGAAGACTGCATACAGTTTGATTCTGTGTTTAAACTTGAAGAAAAAAAAACTGAACAGTGTGCTCTTTGGAGGGTGTCATGGATTGAATTATGTCCCCCAAAAGATGTGTGTATCAATTTGGCTGGGCCATGATTCCCAGTACTGTGTGATTTTCCTATATGTTGTAAATCCTGCCTCTATGATGTTAATGAGGGAGGATGGATGGCAGTTGTGTTAGTGAGGCAGACTCAATCTGCAAGATTGGATTGTGCCCTGAGGCAGTCTCTTGAGATATAAAAGAGAGAAGTGGGGTGGGGGGGAGAACCGCATATCACTAAGAAAGCAGTACCATGAGCAGACCAGGAGCAGAGCGCGTCCTTTGGACCTGGGGTCCCTGTGCGGAGAAGCTCCTAGTCTGGGGGAACACTGAACACTGACAGAGAGAGAAAGCCTTCCCCTGGAGCTGCTGCCCTGAATTTGGACTTGTAGCCTACTTTACTGTGAAGAAATAAGCTTCTCTTCCTTAAAGCCATCCATCTACTTGTGGTATTTCTGTTACAGCAGCACTAGATGACTAAGCAGGGGGCATACGTAAGGAGGTAGTAAAACTCTAAAGAAAAGGTTAATATAAAAATGATAATGGTTACTTCACCAGGGGGAAGAGTGCAGGGAGAATCAAGGGGGCTGAGACTTTTTCTGTTTGTTAATTAAGCTGGGTGGTTGTATAGGGTATTCATTTAGTTCTCTTCAAACAGTGCATGTACATTATATAAATGCTTTGATGTATTTCTCAAGGAAAAAAAAATCCTAAGAAGAACAGAAATGAAAAATGACCCAAAGTTCTACTATGCAAAGTTTACTACTATTAACATCATTGTGTGTCCCTCAGACATGTATATATATGTATACATGCATACACCCACACACACATACTGATAATTGGAATTAATTTGTATAAACAGTTTGTTGTCCTACTTTTTTCATGTGAACATTTTCGAGTATTGTCTTAGTCATCTAGTACTGCTATAACAGAAATACCACAAGTGGATGGCTTTAGCAAAGAGAAGTTTATTCTCCCACAGTCCGGAGGCTGCAAGTCCAAATTCAGGGCATCAGCTCCAGGAGAAGGCCCTCTCTGTCGGCTCTAGAGGAAGGTCCTTGTGATGCATCAGTCTTCCATTGGTCTGGGAGCATCTCAGTGCAGGAGCCTCAAGTCCAAAGGACACGCTCTGCTTCCTTGGTGGCATGAGGTTCCCATGTGTCTCTGCTTGATACTCTTTTATATCTCAAAAGAGATTGGCTTAAGACACTATCCAATCTTGTATACCTCATCAGTATAACTGCCGCTAATCCATCTTATTAGATCATAGTGATTGAATTTACAACAAATACGTAAGGAAATCACACCAGATTTCAAAATGGTACACAGTTATACAATACTGGGAATCATGACGCAGCCAGGTTGACGGATATTTTTGGGGGATACAGTTCAATCCATGACAAGTATCATTAAAGAATTTTTAATGGTTGTATACTATTCTTTAATTCTTTAATTAAATTAATTTAATTCTTTGGGTTAGGAAAAATTAAAAGTTGCTTTTTAAGTAGTTTAAATATCCTCTGTGGTTGTCATGTGGATTTTAGTGAAGGGCATTTTTTTTCATTGTGCTTTTAGTGAAAGTTTACAGTTCAAGTCAGTTTCTCATACAAAAACTCGCACACACTGCTGTGTCACCTTAGCTGCTCTCCCTATAATGTGACAGCACACTCCTCCTTTCCATCCGAGATTTCCCTTGTCCATTCAGCCAGCTCCTGTCCCTTTCTGCCTTCTTATCTCAACTCTAGACAGAAGCTGCCCATTTAGTCTCATGTATCTACTTGAGCTAAGAGGCACACTCTTCACGAGTATCATTTTATGTCCCATAGTCCAGTCCAATCTTTATCTGAAGAGTTGGCTTTGGGAATGGTTTTAGTTTTGGGCTAACAGAGAGGCCGGGGGCCATGTCTTCCGGGGTCCCTCTAGTCTCAGTCAGACCATTAAGTCTGGTCTTTTTACTAGAATTTGAGTTCTGCACCCCACTTTTCTCCAGCTCCATCAGGGACTCTTGTGTTCCCTATCAGGGCGGTCATTGGTGGTAGCTGGGCACTGTCTAGTTCTTCTGGTCTCAGGCTGGTGGAGTCTCTGGTTTATGTGGCTCTTTCTGTCTCTTGAGCTAATATTTTCCTTGTGTCTTTGGTATTCTTCATTCTCCTTTGCTCTAGATGGGTTGGAACCAATTGATGCATCTTAGATGGCTGCTCACTAGCTTTTAAG